AGTCTGAAGGAGGAGTTGGGGTCTACTTGTGTAGGGCCTTGTCTGACACGCCACGGAATGTATATGTTATCTCAAGTAGGAGTTCTGTAAAGCCGGATATTGCTACATTTGTGGTGGCTGTAAGCAGGCTGAGAAGGAAAGATAAAAATACAAAGAAAGAGGGTTTCCTTTTGCATTTACAGGACAGAGAAGATTTGGTACATCGCAGGCAACTTAACAAAACTGTAGAAAAATCGTAGAAATGCAAAAGAAATCACAGAAACAGGTGAAAACCAAGACGGGGTCTTTGAGACAGACTGTCAGATTGACAGAGTGAATTTCAAATCATTATTGAAACTCCTTAAATTTAGAACAAATATTTTAGGAGATAAGTTTGCCAGGTGAGATATAGGATGTCAACACACACACACACACACACACACACACCATGAAATATTTGTTATGTTAAACACTATTTTTTCCTGATTGAAACTTAGATACCTGGGTGTTCTGTTGCTTTTATTCAGAAAATATAGGAATCTGATATGATAAAAGGTTATGAGGAGGCCTGGTTACCACGTGCGCATCTGATCCTTCCATTTGACATTGGAGTTGGAGTGTTTTGATGAGCATAAGTGTCACCACATTTACTTAGAAGTGTGAAGTCCATGACCCGATGAGGCACTTCCTAGAACACAGGGAGAATCTTTTGGCAAGTCCTTTTTATATTTTAGTGACTGGGTAGGGATTTTACTTTATTAGATTGTTTTAAAAAAACAAAGGGAAAAAATTTGAATAGGGAGAAGAAGGGGACATCTAAACTACTGAAAGCCTTGAATAATCAGCAGACTTGAGGGACAATGTCTTGTGTATTCAAGCAACAGAACGGGCTGTTATCCTGGCTAAGAAGGACCATCCAGGCTGCTTTATCAAGTGTGAACAAGGCTGGGCTGTATTGTTTTTTATTCCCTTGATATACAGTGGCCCTTGTGTTCCAGCTCCTGTTTGTATTGGGACTGTAAAAACATTACAAACACCCAAACAGTAAACTCTGCTAAGACTGTGAGGTCACAGTAACATGACCTCACAGAGAGCCTGATCCTTGGGAGGCCCTGGAGATCAGCAGACCCCGGAGCTGGGGAAGAGGAGAGACTGGGAAGGAGCTTGGCAGAGGAAGGATGGCCCAGGCGTGCCTTCGAGGAGGTTGTGATGGGTTCTTGGTGGTGTCTGACTGTTGCCGGTGAGTTTGTAGTGCTGTCTGATGCAAAAGGAACATTTTCTGTTTTGTTTAATCTTGGAAGTCATGAAATGGGATAGAATGAAGCTATCTAGGAATGGAAGTATTTGCCTCATTTTGTTCCTTTTCTCTCTTTCTTTCTGTCTGTAGTATTTGGAGGTAAGCCAGAGTAGTTGTCCTGGGCTCCATCCCCTATTTTTCTTTTCTTTTTTTTTTTTTTTTTTTTTTTTAATCTTTTGTTTTTAAGGCAGGATCCCCCAAAGTTGCCCAGCCTGGGTTCAAATTTATAATCCTTCTGCATCAGCCTCCCAGAACACTGGGACTATAAGCATGCATCAGCACGCCTAGTTCCTTTTTTCTTCTTTTACTGAAGTTTCTTGTTGAGTGTTTTTTTTTTTTTAAAGGAAGATCCAGAGAAGTTTGATATACCTATGTTTTAAAATTACATCTTTTTGGTATATGTAAGGAACATAAGGTACATAGTTTGAGGAGTAAATATTTTACATCCTAACACTTATGTGGGAAAACACAAAATGAATTGCTCTTGAAACAAAATCACTGTGAGTTTACTTAAGTATGCAGACATTGCTACATATTTAGTTTTTCACAAAACTGCCCAGTGATGTTAACTTTAGAAAGGTATGCTCAGGATAATCTTTTTTTTTTTTTGGTTTTTCTCCGGTACCAGGGACCGAACTCACGACCTTGCGCTTGCCAGGCAGGCGCTTTTGCCGCTGAGCTAAATCCCCAGCCCAGGATAATCATGTTTAAATTTATTTTCATGAAGGTTTTACCATAATGAAGCAATTTATTGAAACTGGGAGATATTTTCTCTTGGAAAATCAAGGCAGCTTTCTGGTTAAGGAGGGCTGTACCTCCTGGTTTGCCTGGGTCTGTTCCAGTGTATGCCAGTTGTTTTGACATTGATCATGGTTTAGTATTTGGCTCAGACTCTTAAAAAAACAAAGTATTAGTAGTTGCTGTAACATAAAGCAGCATGGGCCTGTTTGATATCTGTTGTGTTCCTGGGATTCCCATGGGAGTGTGTGAGCTGACATGGAGCTTTGGCATGTGGTTCAATCACAAATGTCCTGTGCCTCTTTCCCTGACCATCCTCCCCACCTTTCAAGGGCAGCTCCTGAGGTTCTTGCTGGTGAATGGGAGGTATGTGTGCAGAGGCATTGCTAGGGGCAGTCAGGGCTCTCAGGTTGATGGTGGTTGGTCAGTGAGTTCTCTGCAGACACTGGGTGCCCCAACTGGTCACACCACAGACCTCGTTGCTTTTGCAGGGACAGCAAAGCTGGCTGACCACCCCACTGGCCGGTCACTGCCGAAAGTGGGAAGTTGTCATGTAGGTGGAATAAGTGACAGTATTGCTCAGTCTTCTTACAAATCAGTTTGTCTTCGCTACAGTGGCAAATTTGCTTTATTGTTATTACATGGGATGAACTTATAACTTATTTTTCTAGTTCACATTTTAAAAGATCTAGTTACTTTGAGTTATCACTCAAATATATATTTCCCTTTTTAATGTATAAACGTCAGTGGCTGTCATATATTGGGTAATGTTCAGTATTATTATATCTCTCTTAATGATATTGTCATCATCCAGAGAAGAAACACTATACCCATTAGCAGTACTATTTTTATTTTATTTATTTATTTATTTGTTTAGTTTTGGTACCAGGAATCGAACTCAGACCCTTGCGCTTGCCAGGCAGGCGCTTGTGCCACTGAGCTATATCCCCGGCCCAGCAGTACTATTTTTAAATTGAGAATCCTTTTAAATTTTGTAATAATTATAACTACATACTTAATAACTTTATCATCTCTGCTCCTTCTTCAGGGGGATCCTAATTTAGACAATATCATGTTACTGTACTTATTGTGCAGACCAAGTGAGAGAACTAAGGGACAAAGGACCAGGGAACAAATTTAGCTGAGCCCAGAATAACTTTTATGTTTGTAAAATTTGCAACAAAACAACAAAGCAGAGTATGTGATTGGGACTTTCTGGAGCCTGCAAGTCTAACGTATTTATAGTATGGTTCGCTGTATAGAATTCTGACTGTCCTGAGTTCAGTAAACTCAGAGGCAGTTGTCTTAGAAGACATTTATGTTACCGTGAACATGTCTTTGTCACCAAGTGAAAAATGAAGATTTGGATGTCCCTCTGACCTCCCTGGTTTTAGTGTTAAACATAAGGTAACCCTTTGCAGCTGGCCACAGGCGATAGGTTGTGACTTGTCTTTCAAACAGAGCTTCTCCAATGTGGCCTGTGGTGGTTGTTTCCTTCAGTAAGTTTGTGAGGGCAAAGTTATTTTCTCCTTCACTGCCCATGACTTCAACAGTCAGTGTCTCAGCAGAAATCAAGGCAGTGGTGCCCTACTGTCCTCATCCTTGCTGCATTTTGTCACTGCCTTCCAGTCATCTGAAAACGAAGGCCAGTGTCACCTAAAAATGTCCAGCCCAAGTTAATTGGATTGTATTTCAACACCTGAATTCTTTTTAGTTCCTGCATAATAAAATGCGAATAAAGCACTTCTTCTGCTGGTTGTCCTCAAGAGAAGCACATAATGCACTATGAGTTGGGGCCATAAACTTGTCACATTTTCTTAGAAAGTCACTTTTCCTTGAGAGGACCCTCGAGAAACAATGATTATTGGCAACCATTTTGTCAGAAGTGCAGAGAGTATCTACATTTTACAGAAAACACTAATAATGTTATCAGCCAATGGTTAAATTTAAGCTTTTGATCAAAAAGTCAAAGTTTGTGGAACATCAAAAGTTCTACAGCTTCCCAATACTTACAGACTCTTTGGAAATTAATGATGGTGACATTAGTGTAATTGAGTTTTCTAATATTGTATAATGAAATGTGCGAAGACCGATAACCAGTGCACAATACGAGAAAGTAGATACACAGAGATACAAGATCCATTCAAAATATAGCATGGGTATTACTGTAAGAAAGGGTATAAAAGGAGCTTTGCCAGAAATCTAGTTTCTATATTGCAGTTAACTTTTGAGAAACTACCATTTGTCTTATTTTCATGTTTTATCAAAAAAGAACAGTTATCTAAAACACTTTTTTTGTTTATTTGTTTGTTTTTCTCTGATACTGGGAATTGAACTCACGACCTTGCGCTTGCCAGGCAGGCACTGTGCTGCTTGTTTCTAACTGAATATCTGTGAGAGGCCAGATTTTCTTAATGTACTCTAACCAAGAGAATATATTATTACAAAGTGAATGTAGAAGTCGCTTTGAGAACTCAGTTTCCTTCTGCTGAGCCATCCATGAAAGAAATTTATATGAAATGTAAATCTTTGTTGCTTGTCTCACTAGATTTCACACTGTTTTGGAAAGTTTTTTTTTTTTTTTTTTTTTTTTCATAAAATAGGATCTATTACAGGAGCTTGGTTTATTATTTTTGAGGAATTAATATTTAAACTTTTTGTTTTAATTATTAATATAGTACATGTCTTTAGCCCATAGAAATAGAAGCTCTTTGGAGTTCTCCATACTTTTAGAATGTAAAGGTTCCGAGACCAAAAAGTTTGATAACGATTTATCTAAGATTGAGGTAATGGCCTTGTGAATCTTTTGAAACATAGTGGCTGAAAATATTTTTATGACTATTTAAGTATAATATGGCGATTTCATTTAAATGTTTTCATTTAGTTCTGCAGTACCACGGTAATTTATTCAGCTATTTCCCTTTATGCCTTATAAGAAAAATCCTTTTCCACTATTATATCTTTTTTCTTTTATCAAATTTTATAGCAATGCTGGGGTGAAAAAAACACAGCTAGAGGATAATTCTGAAATGGGGAGCACTCAAATTCTGGAAAAAGAGACTCCAGAAAGTCTCAGTAACGGTACCAGCAGCAACGTGGAAGCCGCTAAAAGACTGGCCAAACGCCTTTATCAACTGGACAGATTCAAAAGATCAGATGTCGCCAAACACCTGGGTAAAAAGTACGTTGTAACTCAAGACTGATGGTTCTTGGAGCTGTGTGTGTGTGTGTGTAGGTGTGTGTGTGTGTGTTCATGCGTGTGTCTATTTTCAGTTTTCACTTGAATAACCAAGTCTATTCTGTTTTCTTGTAGCAATGAATTTAGCAGACTAGTTGCAGAGGAATATCTGAAGTTTTTTGATTTTACAGGAATGACGCTAGATCAGTCTCTCAGGTAGGATTAAACACTCACTTCTGTCCTTTGTTGCCTCCAAATAATGAATTCTTACAAAAAAAAAGTGTTGTTGTTTAACTAGACTCTGCTCTTATTTTTCTAACCTGCTCAGTTAACTGTGTGACTTTAGATTGTATCGTAGATACTAAGCATAGCAAAGAAAAATAAAAATATACTTTCTATAAAAAAACACATCAGCTGGTCTGCATGTGGTGGTAAGCTCAAGTCCAGATGGCATAGCAAAGAATGGTGGCAAAGCAAATCTGGAGAAAAAATGGATTCTTGGAGAGTTTTCCTTTCAATTCCTTTTGTAATAAAATACACATAATAATATTTGCTATCTTAGCCATTTTTAAGTGTAAAGGTAGTGGTATTAAATACATTTGTAATGTTGTACATTCACCACCATCTATTTCTACAGCTCTTTTCATCTTAAAAAACTGAAACTCTATACATAGTAAACAATAACTCCCATTTCTTCATTCTCTAATCCCTTCAAAGCACTGTTGTTTTCTATCTCTGTGATTCTGATTACACTGAGTTGACATTACATAGTTGTAAATATACAGTATTCATTTTTTCATGACTAATTTTAGTGTATAGTGCCCTCATGGTTTGTCTATATTGTGACATACTGCAAGATTTCTTTATTTCCTTTTGAAGGCTGAGTAATGCTCTCTTATATGGATATATCATCATTTTCATAGCCAGTTGTCTTTCAATAACACACAGATTGCTTCTACATTTTATATATTGTGAATAAAACTATTATAAATACGTGTATAGGTATCTCTTGGGGACCCTCCTTTCAATTTTTTTTTTTTTTGAGTAGGGAAATTGGTTTTTTTTGTTGTTGTTGTTTTTCTCCGGTACCGGGAACCGAACTCACCATCTTGCGCTTGCCAGGCAGGTGCTTTGCCGCTGAGCTAAATCCCCAGCCCGGGAAATTGGTTTTTGAATGATTGGTTAAAAAAAAAAAACAACACAGTTTAGATTGCAGAATTCTTGATATTTTCCTAAGCAGTTGCTTATAATTGCTAGGTAATCTTTGAAGATATTTTGGAATCAATGCTTGATTGGAATAAAAATCGTTATCAACATAATAATCAGCAGAAAGTATCTGTAAAATTGTTTCTAACAATACCCACTTTTTGTTGACCATTTCAAATGAAGTTGCCAAAAGTACACCGATTCTCACTGTTTACATTCTCACTGTATTGCGTATGCCTGAAAGTGCCTGACGGCAAACCTGGCCAGCAGGTTTATAAACTCCTTATAAAATGTTGGAGGCTGGAGGAGTTCTGAGGTCATCTGGTATAATTCTACAGTTGTACAGATCAGAAACTTGAGGCTGAGGAAGTGCAGTGTAGCTGATTTGGCTATGGTGGCTCTTTTTATGAATCAAAGGTATTCACTGGTTTTCCAATGAAAACAGCCAAGAATGAAGGAAAGATCTCTCTCTTTACTTACTATGTGTTATGATGTGGTTTATTTTAACAAGTTATGAAAAATAAACGTGATCAGTATAATTTTGGCTAACTAAATCTCTCTAATAAGGAAAAAAGCAGAATTTCCATAGGAATAAAATTAATTGTACAGATTTTACAATAGTTGGATTTCTTAGAATACTTTAAATTAGTTTTTCCCCCTTTCCATCACATAGTTAAGACAATATGTCTACATTATCAAATGAAGGTCACCTAGATTAATTTATGCTAAATAGTACTCTTAGTCACTCTGATTTAGAGTGCTGTGTGGTTCTGGGCCTCTTTATTATTATTACAAGAAATTTTGTACTTCATTTATTCCATATTTAAAAAGTAAATTTCTATTTCCCCAATTTCTTTCTCACATAACAAATTAATAATGAAATATTATAGTAGATAAAGTAAACATAATTGTAATTTTAATATTGGTTCAGTGGAGATTTTCATGTAACAAAATAATAAAAGGACACTTCTGTATATGGAATTATAAAACACCTTGTATGAGCGTGCATTAAATTAAGTGGTTTTTAAAATCTGACCTTTTAAAATTGGCTACTTGAGCTGGATGTGATGGCACATGCCTGTAATCCCTGTGCTTGGGAGGCTGAGGCAGGAGGATTGTTGAAAGTTGGAGACTAGCCTGGGCTACAAAGTAAGCTCAAGGCCAGCCTGAACTGCATAGGGAGACCCTGTCTCAGAAAGACACACATACATACCACACACAAAGTAAAGTTGGCTGCTTCAGTTTAGTCATAATGGGAAAATTAGCTCTTTTCCCCAGGCTTTCTTGATGTACTGACCACCCTATTGTTATTCTATCTGTTTTTACGTGCCATTTTATAAAATTTAAATTTCAATAGAAATTTATATTGAATGGCCATCTGTTAAGTGATTTTGGGGGGGAGATAACTGCATAATATCTTCAATTTATATAAATAAACTTTAACTGACAAATAAAAAATGTAGTAAGTTTTCTAAAATGTTATTTCCCCTTTCCTTCTTTTTTTTAGGTATTTCTTTAAAGCATTTTCTCTTGTGGGAGAAACTCAAGAACGAGAGAGAGTTTTAATACATTTCTCCAATAGATATTTTTACTGTAACCCAGATACCATTGCTTCACAAGGTAATCGCGTAGAAATTCTTCAGTTTCTTTTTAATAACAATGATTTATTTCCTTATTTTGAAAGTTATATTTTATTGTGAAAATATAGGAAATTATAGGGGAATATGAAGATCATCTAAATATCTCTAATTACCTAAAGATAAATATTAGTTAATTAACACTTTAACTTACTTCCATTTATATAATATTTGATGTCAAATTAAAATTATTGCAGTTTTGTTTCCTAGTACTTTTCCTTTCATTTTATTTTCTCATGCCACTAAGTATTCTTTAAAAACATTTTTAATGAGAACATATTTCTTACTCCTAATTATTTTACTTCATTTTGGAGTTCCAAAGTATGCTAGTTTATTTTCTTTAACTTGGTCAGCTTTATCACTCAGATTTTATGTACAAAGCACATGGTAGTAAATTAATTATTGAAAATTTCTTGCTTAGCATGGTGGCACACACCTGTTATCCCAGAAGTCTGGAGGCTAAGCTAGGAAGACTGTCATGAATTTGAGACCAGCTTGGGCTACATAGTGAGTTCAAAGCCAATTTGAATCTCATAGTGAGACCCTGTCTGAAAAAAACAAAGAAAAAATGGATGAAGTGTTTTTTTTCCCCTCTTATATCCCTTAACTCTCTATCTTAATAAAAGTTCATATATTTTTAGTTCTCTGGTTTGTTTTGGAAGTGTTTACAAAGCTCACTGGAAGCAGTGTTTCTTTGGTGCTTTTTGATTATAAGAATATTGACCACTGCCTTTCATCTATGACCTTAATGAAATATGAGTTTATGTTTATGAATTTTATAAAATTTCAAGAATTTTTTTAAAAAGTGTAGAATTTATTATATAAGGTGAAACTGCAATGAATATACTTCTAGATATTTAGTAGCATGTGATTAGAGACATTGATAATAGAAGTTGCCTACTGTGCCAAAAAGTATACTTGTAATAAAACAATCTTTAATTTATTAATTCAGGAATTGGATAGTCCTTTCTGTACACTTAACATAGATTCGTAAGAGTTTTTTCTACATCTGAAACTGCTACTGTCTACTATAGTTGGATTGAAAATTCAGAGGAAAAAATAAAAACTGATTCTGATATTTGGGAATGAGTAGCTTAACTCTTTAAGCTTTTTCTTTTACTGTATAAAGCAAGAAAACTTCCTTGTTTGGGCAACTTTTCTCCCTGAACATTTAATTTTTTAATCTTCATACAGTATTTCGATATTTTCCTTTTGGTTTGATGTGTAGTGTCCTAGACAAAACCATTCAACCTAAATGCATTGCTTTGAATGAATGTCAAGAGAGATCATAGTAAGCCCTGATCTTTATTTTCTTTAACTTTCTCCATTTACTTGCCTCTTAGAAAGTTTAAAAAAAGTAACAAAATTAAGTAATTTTCCTTTCTATCCCATGTATATTAGAAAATTGAGAAAGCACAAATCAACATAGAAATTTTAATCTCATGACTGAAAGAAAATCTTTTAATTTCCTGGTGTATATTTTTCTTGATGTTATTTATATTTAGTTTTGTTTTTTTTTCTAGTACTGGGAATCGAACTCATGACCTTGCTCTTGCCAGGCAGGTGCTTTGCCGCTGAGCTAAATCCCCAGCCCCAATGTTATTTATATTTAAAATGAATTGTACTGTATATAAGTGCTTTGTTATATAAAAATTTATTGTCAACTATTTTTCCACTTCAATCTCTGTAGTTGGGCAACATTTTAAATGGCTTTCACATGACAAAATTATGTTTTTAGAAGGCCGTGTTTACTTATCTCTCACTCTAAGTGATGTTTCTCTGTATGTATCTCTGCACTTTGTATAGATCTTTGTTTCCTGAGTGTACTTGGAACTGGATTTGTTGTGTGGAAGGACATAGGGGGACAATTTGACATTACATATGTCAAACTGTATTTCAGCACAGTTTATTAACAGTGGAATCCAGCCCTTCCCATTAAGGTCCTTTTGGTAAATTTTTCACATGTATTTTTTATCCCCGCAAGCAAATACGGCCAGTTGGGTTTCAGCCCAGTGTTGTGTTTCCGTGAGGTGAGTCCAATAATAAGCAGCGCGTTCACAGTTTCTGCCCGTGTTTCTGTCTTTAGATGGAGTCCATTGCCTGACCTGTGCAATGATGCTTCTGAACACTGATCTCCACGGCCACGTAAGTGCCCTTTGTGAGGCTCTTCTGCAGAAATCTAAACACAGCAGGGCTGATCTCTGCTTTTGTGTTCATGTACATTTCTTTTTACTCTTTGTACAGTTTCTACGGCAGGTAGGTAGACATAAATCTTTTTTAAAAAAGAAGATATGTTTTTATTGTACACACAAGCGCGCTGTTAATTTGTGTATATTACACTGTGTAGGTGGTATTAGTGGCTTTAGCCATAACGTGTATATTCTGTATCTTCTTTGTCCACCAGATGGCAGACAGAGGTTTTGCTTGTTCTTGTTCTATTTTTTTGGCTAGGTGTTATAGTGGCTGAAATACAGCGCTGGAAAGAGAATATAAGTTAGATGCAAAAATTAAGTCTAAGAATCCACCCTGGTCTTCTTTCCACAGTGTGTCTACTTTGTTTTAAACTAGTTAAAACTCAAAAGATAATATCGAAATAACCTAATTACCTTCTCATCTATTTAGAGAATAAGTTTCTTCGATTTGTAGTTATAAACCGTCACCTTTCATCGAAGTGAAATTTGAGGGCTTACTTAAATTCTTCACATTAAAGAAAATGACAACTTTTTGATTGAGTATACTTACTTAGAACAAAAATTAATTTATAGCCACAGATCCATTTGTTTTGAAGAAAAAAAATCATGTTTCTGTGTAATTGAAGAGTATACCATCCCTTGATTTACTGTAATGTAATCTACCTCACAGTTTAAAAAGTTACATTAAATAATTGTATTTTGCGTGTTGAATCTACTATTCCAAAGGCCGTCCAACTCCCTTATTTGAAACTGCAGTGCTCCTCTTTAAAAAAAAAAAAAAAAAAAAAAGGCAAAGTGGAGCCGTGTGGGACCACTAAGCTGAATTAGCTATTTTGAGACCACTGGGGTGGAGAAAGGGTTGCTCCTGTAAAGGGGAGTTGTAGTGATAGCATCATAATTTTAATACTGTCTTCAGGTACCTCAAAATATTGAACTCAAAAGCTCCTTTTGAGGAAATTGTAACAGGTACATTTAATTTAGTGGTACAGTGGTACCTCGGTTCACAAATGCTTTTGTGTGCAAACAATTTGGTTTACAAACAGAAGCACTTTGCAAAATTTTGTTTTTGTTTGTGAGCTATGCATCGGGTGACAAACACGACTGTGGCCATCTTTCTAATGCAAACAGAAATGTAGCCTCTTTCCCAAAATCAGAGAACAAATTAAGTCCGTGAACTGAGGTACCACTCTACATGTAGCATGTTTCCAGAGGTTATACAGACTAAGAATATAGATACTTTCAGGGAACACTCTTGGGGAAAAGGACTAATATACTGTGTGGAACTGAAGGTGCTGCTATTCTTGAGTCTTGTTGAGGGGATGACCACTCATTGGATTATCCTGACTTCTGTTTTTTTCATTACCAGACAAGCAAGTGTTCATGATTTTCTTTTGAACCTGTTTTGTGATAACCTGTTTTGTGATTTTGTTATCACAAAACCCTGCCCCTTCCTTCCTCCCACTCCTCAATTTCTTAACCTAGCTTTCTGGCCTGAGGAGATAATTTTGCGTGTCCACATATAACTTCAGTCAAGCCAGGGATTCCTAGTATAAAGGATCCTCTTCATATCAGATATTTTGAAGTCCCATCAACAGATGATAGTTTTACATTTAGCATCTGTTGACTGAGAAAATATAGAATAACTGGAAAGAAAAAAGAAGAATCTAGTAATAGCTCAATTTTGTTTAAAGTTTCATAATCTCAAAGACTTTCTATAGAGGTTATACTTACTGAGACTCATTTCTGCTAAATTCTAGACTTTTTTTTTTTCTTTTGAGACAGGGTCTCTGTAGCTCAGGTGGGCCTGGACTCACTATGTAGCCCAGACTGGCCTCAAGCTCTCAGGGATGCTCCTGCCTCAGCCTCCTGAGTGCAGGTATTACCAGCATGCACCACCATGCCAGGCTAGAGTTTTTTAAGCTAATATATAAAGCTAATATAACTTTAATACTTTGAAATCAACATGTATCTTTATTCATGACAATTTGAAGTACAGTAGCAAATAAAGGTGAAGGTTTCTTATTTATTCTGTTAACTCCACATGGTTGATGTCCAGATGAGCTATGGGGTTCCCTAGTGTCCGTAACCCACAGGTTCAGAAGTGCAGATCTAGTCCACTTTTTGCCCTATCTTCAGACAATTTTGAGGAATCATAGAGAAATGAGATAAAGTATCATGCTTCTTTTCTGGTGCCTAGGGTGGAAGAGATGGTTTATATAAATGAACATTTTAATTTTATTGAATTATAGGTAATTAACAATTGGCTATCGTAGGAAAATTAGTGATATAAAAGGGGGAAAATATAAGTAACAGTATATCTTCCTATCACCTTCTGAATCATATTTTCGATGATAATTAATTCTCAGCTTTGATTTTAAAATCAAACACTTAAGAGTTGTCATTTAGGTTTTACATATTAGTTTTCTTTATCCTTATTTGCAATACATGCTATTACAAGTTTGTCGAATGTATATTTGCTATCATAAACAATAACCATGTGGAACTGTGTTTCTCTTATCTCTTCCCTGTGGATTCATTTTTAAAACAAATTTTCTTTCTAGGTGGTAAGTTTTTAATCCATGTTTCTGGATGTAGCTTTTCATGCATCGTGATTGCCTGACGGATTGTGATAGTGTCTGTCTGACTGACTAGCATGGCCCCTATGCAGTTGAAGCATTCAGATATAAAGTGATTTCTTTCTCCTATCTGTTCCTTTCCCTTGCTCTTACTATTCTACTACCAAGGCCATTACCCTCCACCACTTGATCCAATGCCAGAATAATCCTCTTGGAGAATAAACTAATTTTACTAATTTTAAACTAAAAATCCATTTTCCCTTTCTTCCTTATCATGGTGTCATAAAAGCAATACAACAGCATGATTTTCTAAGAACTGCTAAGACCAGCTTGTCTCTCTCTTTCTACGGGTGAGGGCTCACTTGGTATATTAATTTACTGTGGCTGTTTCTGAGAATCTTTCCTTTAAGAACTGATGCACTGAAAATGCCTTTGTGTGATCTGCTAATACTTTTACTAATACAATGAAAGAATGTGTACTAATAGGTAACTTTGCTATAGCTTTCATGTTACATGCTGGGGTTCCGCCCTCGCTAACTTCCTTCCTTCCTTCCTTCCTTCCTTCCTTCCTTCCCTTCCCTTCCCTTCCCTTCCTTTCCCTTCCCTTCCCTTCCCTTCCCTTCCCTTCCCTTCCCTTCCTAATGCATTTTCTCATTCAGCAAGCACTGGTGATGTTTCTGATTCATTCTGAGTTCTATGGCGTTTGGGTAAGGATCGGAAATGAACAAGATATGTTTGTGAGACTGAAATAGCATCTAGGGTAGTGTAGGCCAGGTTGGCCTCCGTTCGTCAGACTTCACTGAGGACATGGTTCCTCAAGTGACAGATGCTGTGCTGGAAGAACACTGGGAGGGTGTTTTAATTTTATGTTGGATTATAGCTGAACCTCCCTAATGAAGCTGGACCACGCTAGCCTGAAGTATATGCAGGGTTTGTTTCTTTTGTTTTGTTTTGAGAACTGCACTGATGTCCTTCATTACTTACTTTAAAATATATATGATTCATCTTAGCAATATCATAAGTTTGCTTTTACTTGTCTGCAAGTAGTTTATTCTCTTACATTAAATAAATATAATTATGGTCACATGTCTAATTTGCTGAACAATCTTTTTAAAATGATTTATAATTAAAAATAAATATGCAAATTAAATATGTGTACATATAGCTTTTGATGAAAACAAATCTGAGATTTTTGGCTCTGTTGTAACTGTGTTGAATATTGCTTCATACTGTCAGCAAAGAAAGAGTTAAAAATGTTGACACTTTAGCATCTATTGGACATGTTATGAATAAAAAGTATTTGGCATGTCAGTATCAGTTTAAGCCTGTTCCTTTTCCTGACTAATATCTTCCCTTGTGTTCTCTTCACACTAACTAGCCAGCTTTCTCACTCGGTTCAAAGTTAGGCTTCAGCCATCTAGCAGGGTCCTCCACTCTGAAGAGGGGTGTCTGGGGCAGGACGGTGGGCAGGTCCTTCTCACCAGGGCTGGCGTTCTCAGGAGGTAGGAAGTTTTAGACAGCTTTGGATTATGCTGAGGAGTGAGATAGATATGAACAGAATCGTCTGGCTAATTTCACAACTAGCATGTCTCAAGAGGTTTGCAGGTCAGTGATTGGTCCCAGTTTGGCCATGATTAAAAGTAGTATCCAGGGCATTATTCTTAATAAACAAAATTCCATAACAAAAATCTGCCTTTTTAACTTTGTGGCTGGAGATTTTTAGTAGCAGTTTCATCCAGTGTCTCTCTGGGCTCGCTAGTATTGACAGAAGGCAGTCTAGCACTTGAAGCGTTTATCTTTATATTGAGGGTATGCTGACCCCTGTCCTCTGTGGTCTGAATTTCACATAAGAGGCAAGATTTTCACTGACTTTTGGTGCTGAGTATTAAGTTCGAAAAAGGGTAAAACAATGGCTAACATACCATATTGGCAGGGAGAGTAGAGAGACTGAGGAACAAATTGAGTTTCATAAAGACTCATGTTAAAGAGATAGGTAGAATTTAGTTTAATGTAGGTCATAGGAATTCATTATTTTTCCAGTCTGTAAAATGAGTTATTTGATTAATTTTGTAGGAGCCTACAGTTTTAAATGGTGGGTAAATATTCAATTTATTACCAGTAGTAGAAAAAGATTGTTCGGGGCTGGGGATTTAGCTCAGCGGCAAAGCGCCTGCCTGGCAAGCGCAAGGTCGTGAGTTCGGTTCCCGGTACTGGAGAAAAACCAAAAAAAAAAAAAAAAAATAAATCAAAAAAGAAAAAGATTGTTATAAGAACTGTAATTAAAGCAATTTAATGCTTTTTCTTCCCCATATTATGCTGCCCTATACTTCCACCCACAAAAGCCCCACCAACTTCCATGAGATTGATGAAATCTTTG